GATGTAAAAAATGGGGAGGGGGTGGGGGGGGTGGAAAAGGGTCGAGGGGGGCTGCCCCCACCCTCCTTGGAGCCTAGCACTTTAACTGGTGGCCTGGTGGCCGGGGGATGCTGTGATGCTCGGGGTTGGGGGGGCCTCTCATAAAGGGACACCCTCCTGGACCCCCATCCCCTTCCTGAGCACCAAACGACCTTGGGGACAAGCAGGAAGGAGGGGTCCCCAGACCCCCCCACTCTGTTTGGGGACCCCCCACCACACTTGGTGTCCCCAGGGTTCCTCCCTACGGGGGGGGGAGCAGCCCCAGCCCTGCCAAGCCTGGGGGGGACCCAGGAGGGGTCCCTGGGGGTGCGTGGCCGGGGTGACGCTTGCCCGTGGCCACCACCCATCCATCACCTAGCCCGGGTGTGCACGCGTGTGCACACGTGTGTGTGTGTGTTCACGCGTGTGTGCTGCGGGTGCACACCAGATCCGATCACTCCTTTCGTTGGGTAGTTCGTCCTTGGGTTTGGTTTGGTTTTTTTGGTGTTTTTTGGTTTTTTAAATTATTTTTCTTCTTTTCCCCCCCTCTCTTTTTTTGTATATCAAATCATTTTTGTACAGAAGAACGAGCCTTTTTTGAATAACAAAGAGAAAAAGAAAAAAAACTTTAAAAAAAAATAATAATAATAATCATGATGCAATTTCTTTGGATTGCAAAAAGCAACTCTTTACATTTAAGTGAAGTGTCTTAACATTTTATATTGTTTTAAAAAATATATTTACATATTATATATATATAATATACGTAATATAAATATATATATATAAATATTTAAAAAAAGAAAAGAAAAGAAATAAATCTCTTCACGTCTGGTATATTTAGGGGGTGGATTTTCTTCCCTGGTTTAGTCTCTAGCTCCTGGTGATTTTTGAGGGTCGGTTCCTAGCGGCTCGGTACCTGAGTCCTCCCTTGTCCCATCCCTGTCCCTCGCTGGAGCAGGGGGTGGCAGGGGCTTGGGACCACCCCCCCAA